GAATATAAGTAATTCAGTTGTGGTATCCTATAAGTAACTCAAATGAGGATTTAAATAAGATAACGGTCAAAACTCCTTAACACTGTGCCAACATGCAAAAAAATAGGTAGATAAAATGCCCGATTCAGAAGGGGAAAGAAATTTTTTCAAATCTGTCTTTTCAAGTCCTCTTATTTCATTGACATTCTCTAACTGAATTCAAAATAGCATTTAGCAGGATTTTTTTTTCCCCTCTTGCCAACTACAAAAATATATAGTTACAGATTTGATCTATAGTATAAGAGGACTCATTTTGCAGTGTAGTCTTTCACCATCATTGTGTTCCTTTCTTTGAGGTATATGTACTAGGATCTAATGCCTCATGTTGGTACCTAAATATACTGTATCACTTTAGAGTAATGCCAAGTTGGCTGACATAGGATATTAAAATAGACTTCCCAGCTAAACTTCTGAAAAACATGACTGTAGATGTAGGTTCTGCCACTTCCCTCATTATGAACTCAAAAGTAGTCATCTCCCATTCTGCTGTCCTTGGGCTTCTTTGTTAAATACCATTCTTGCTTTGTATACTGTTTCTTTGAAATTTACTTACAGTGGATTTACACTGATTATCCTGGAATATAATTGAGAACTTAAGAATTATCATCAGAGGAAACATTCCTTGTGAACTTTCAGATAAGTGTCTTCAGACAATTCTAAAATGCAGATATAAATTTTTTTTAAACCACACTTGATAGTGTTATTTTTTGCTTTGGACGAATGAATATATGCTAACCACTCTTCTAACTATTCAGAAATAACGTTGCGACTAAGACTAAGACATATGTATAGATGGTTGTGTAAAATTGTGTTTACTTACAAGGAATCTCTAGTAGTCAGTTAAATCTCTGATCTCATTAGGTATTGAAATTTCTGTACTGTTTTTCAACTAGTGCTACGTTCCTAGCCTTCTATTAAGGTTACTGGTATTAAAATATAGTTGTAAATCTCCCTAAAATCTGAAATGTTTTGAGGAGTCCATTAGTCACATGCCTGGGGGATGTAGCCCCTTTGTCTACTGAACAATGCTTAACTTTGTTATAGGGTATATACTTAAGCTAATAATCTGAAGTTTGCAATGTAGAACTTACTGCGAAGTTTTAATATTAAGGTTTGAATGTCTAGTTTTAGAAGTATAAATAGAATAGCATATTGTCTTTATCTCCAAAGGCATTATATTGTACTTCTAGCAAGCGCACCGACAGAAAAACAGCGACTAGAATGGTGAGTATATTGCTTACTATTTAAAAGAAAAACAGAAAACCACCAAACAACAAAACCAACTAAACAAAAACCTGTCAACCTTGGACACAAGTGAATATGTAGCATACTTTTTAATGAAACAAAGTGGAGCTTCAGTGTTTCAAAATTAAATGGATGAAGATGGTACACTTCTGAAAAAAAAAAGGTAAAAATGAAGAACCAGGGAGTGAAGGCTGTTGCTTGATTTTTTTGGTTCTTTACAGCACTGTGAGGTTCACTTTAAATATTTTTTTCTGAATTCTTACGCAATTTTTAAAATAAGCGCTGTGAGGAGGTATGTTTTCAATCTCTAGAAATACTGTTTCCCAAAACAAAAATGCCTTTCCCTTGTTTCTGTTCTGTTCTATTAGAGAAGTTTTAAGATGGTCAGGTATTGGGAACTTCTAAAATTAATCATCTGAAGGCAAAAGAATATTGGAGAAATAGGAATTTCTTGTGGACTGCCTTTTACTGATCCATGATGCCTTACTATTTAATTGTTTGTAAAACCATGCCCTAATGAGAGCCTCAGAGCATTCTTAAACTTCGCTTGCATTAGTACGTGTAATGCATTCACTTGATTTGTTGATCTGTCATTTATAGTGCGCTAGTTCATTTGTGGTCTCAAATATTAAATGTTGAGGATTTTATCCTGATATATAAAGTTAGATCTTTTATTTCATATTAATGAGAACTTGCTAATAAATGACATTTATGCAGGGTGGGCTTGGTGGAATCAAAAATCCGTATTCTAGTTGGAAACCTGGAGAAGAATGAATTCATTACACTGGCTCACGTGAATCCACAGTCATTCCCAGCACCTAAGGAGAATCCTGACAAGTAAGGAAAACTGTTTTTTCATATAATGATGAGGAACTAACTTAGCTAAAATACAAATTCATTAATAAATAAAGTAGCATTTTTATAGAATCTTAAATGGATTAATTTTAAATGACAGAATCTAAAAGCAAACAGTTTTAAGCTCTTCTCAAGGACTATTTGTAAAATTAAATATTCTTTATTCTGTATAAGAGTGTTTCTACGCCAGAAAAAAAACTTTAAGAAAGAATATATTTTTGCTAATAACTATTAATTGCATAATTTCTTGCCTGTAATCGATGTTAGCTACTGCTACTTAGCTGTTATTTGAGCATCTAGCATCAGTTGGTAAGACAGTTTTAATTATGAGGCAGTACTGAGAACTGGGTAGAACATCAGGCTCAGTCAAACCAAAATCTTGAGTATTTAAGTGCATTTAATATTATTAAATTTAACAGTTGAGATGCATATCATTTAAACTTGGTAATGGCCAATGTTAGAATTCCTTGGGATGTAGAAATTGGAGAGAATACTAAGCACTTCAAGTTGTTTAGAGTTATATATGTTTTTCAACTCTTCCCCCTCTGCCACCTCCTCTTCCCCCACTCAAAACAATAATTGCAGGTGTGTGGGCTAAAAGCTCTTTTAAGATTTTATTTCTAGATAGTGTTGTAATTAACTTGTAAGGAATCATATTTTTGTGTGAAGTGAGAGAATGGGTAAGAAATTTTTGTCTTCCCTGGGAATATGTGAAAAGCCTTGTTCACCTTCCACACAACCTTTTCCAGATATCAACTGCTTCAAGTGACAGTATGGTGCTACTTATTTTTTTTTTTTTTAAAGTTGTATACATAAATTACATGCATGTTCCAAGTGAAATTGGACAAAAGCAGACAGTACCTCTTCACCATGTCAGTGGGTAAATACAGCTACAACTGCTTGCATAATCACAGTTTAGCTCTTATTTCAGAGGATTTGATGTGAGCTTTTAGGAAAGGTCATTTCCCAGTGTAAACAGTGTGTGTTTTTTCACCTGCCTGCCTAAATTTGTTCCTTGATTGATTGGAAAACAGTGTTCTTCTGAAATAGTCTTATGGCGAAAAGACATTTGAATTAGAACATTAAATGTTTTGAGTTGCTTATAGAAGTGTTGCACTGTGTTCTGTAATAGAATATAGTACTTCATCTAACACATATACTATGTGAGAGTGAGCTGCCAGAGGGAGGCTGTCCTTACCTGAAAACTGCACTTTGTGGTCAGTTACAGCTAAGACATTTGAGAGTTGAAGATGAGAGTTCAGTTGGCAAAATGGCAGTTGTTTAGTCAGGGAATAGGTTCTAGCTTCTGCCAGGGTCAGGTGCGGAAAATCTGTTATGTCATTCCAAACGTATTTCCTTTACAGCTGCAAAGGCTAGTTGTCACTCCAAAAATGAGAGAAATCTATACAGAAGGACAGTTGAATGAAGTAATCTGCTGATAATTTTAGTTCATTAAGTTCGCTGGAGATAGATGTGTCAGTATTTCATGACTCTTTTGTTGTATTGTGAATGAAAAGGGAATGTCATTAAGCCAGCTTTGTTTTTTGCCTTTCTGTGGCTAGCTCCCCATTGCTAATGGAGCTAAAATGCGCAACTGTTGTCTGTTGCAGCAGAGAACTTATTATTCAGTTCTTCTATCCGTATTATGTGACCATTTTATGTACAATTTTCCAGGGAGGAATACCGTACCATGTGGGTGATTGGGTTGGTGTTTAAGAAAACCGAAAATTCTGAAAATTTAAGTGTTGATCTTACCTACGATATTCAGTCTTTTACAGACACAGGTGAGTGTTGCTTTCTATATGTTCTGGTATTAATAAACTTGTTGCTGTCTGTTCATAAAGTAGTCTGTTTCAGTAGTAGAATGGCATCTAGACATAGAGTAGAGGGATTCAGCTAAGGAGTTAGGGTGTTATTTAATGAAATACAGTTTTAATGAGTTGTAATGCTTCTAGACACTTCAGATTAATCATTTTCAGTTTGTTTTCATTAAAACTGATTAAAATGATGCACACAGATCTCTAAGATCTCACTAAAAATGGTACATTGTATTGTGGTCTTTATTAAACAGATAAATTGGTTATCATATGCAAACTACGTAGCCTAACCTAATTTTGATAATTATAGTAAAATATGTATAGTTTAAATATTTTTATTACTTGGAAAAGCTGAATTTATAATTGGATTAAAGCTGAATATCTAATAGACTCTAGAACAAAATGCCTTTTATTCTATGGTGTTTCATACTAGCTATTTGGTTCAGTAACTCTCAAGTCCAAAACTACGTGCAAGAAATCTTTTTGACTTTTCCTGATGTTACTATTTGATTCATGAAAATAATTTGGGACACGCATAAGAAATTTGTAAGCAAGGAATTGGTAACAGCTGGAGAGGGTGACTCTCCAGAGTCTAAGGCAAAGGAAGGGAACAGTACCTTTGACAGGCTTATCTAATAAATTTGAAATATATTTTTTTTAAACAAATGACAATTAAGGCTCAAGTATTAGATGTTTACAGAGCTAAAGGAATTAGATTTAAGTACTACATTAACTCTGGTCTCTGGATTTCTAAGATTCAGTAAGGCTGGAAGTGTGGAAATGGTGCACTACCCCTCCTCCCCAGTGTGGGTGTATAATTTTTAAGTAAATCATGCTAAGGTTTCCAAGTTCTTTATTGTCATATATAGCTGCAGTGGAGGGTCTGTGTGTCTATGTGTATATAAATATATCTATCTATTTTTTTCAGTCAAAGGTATTTTTATTTTCTTGAGAGGTGGAATATTCCTTTTGATTGTAAGTTGTGAAGGTGAAACTGTAGATACATCATCTTAATTTTTGAGAATTTAGAAAGGGCACAATAGCTTGGCTGCTACTTTGAAGGAGTGAAGGAATCTATGAATTACAGTTCCTTGGGTCTTTTATTGTTTAAACATATTTCAATAGTGTACTTGTCAGATTTTTGGTATGAAAATACTAAAACTTGCAGTTATGATTTTGAATATGATTTACTTGCACTACATTCAAATTGGAATTTTGTCTAAACATATACAATTTTAAATGCAGTAACATTTCATCAAAAGAATTGTAGACTGATGCATAGTTTTCTGTTCAGTTTGTAAATATGCTTACAAAGGTAACAAACTGGCTGCCAAACAACTTCTGTGTTGTGCGTTTCTTTGTCATCTCAAATTAATGTGGATCTGTCTTCATTGTATTTAATCAACCCCAAAAACTTCTGTTTGTTTGCTCTGTCTTATGGGATAGGTTCTAAGATTTTATCAAAACTACCAAAGTATTTCCAAGAATTAAATTAGGGAATAGCTTGCTTCTTAGTGGGAGCAGGGGGTGGAAGAAGGCCATGAAGAATGAGCTAGGTTTTCCTTGCATTTGTCAGGAATATGGAATGCTTTAACCATGTCTGGCTTTCTTGAGCATGCCCCTAACTTAATGGTAACTTGTATCATCTTTACACAGAGGCTTTATGAGCTTCTTCAATATGAAGAATTAGTGTAGTAGCTCTTCGATACATGGTATTCATTGAACTCTTTATGTGTCTGTCTCTTAACAGCTTTTTAATTACATGTTCACAGCCTATTCAAAGGAATTCCTTAATGTTTGTAGAATAGACAGTGAATAAGGGAGATAACCTCTTAAGTTTTTGTATTTAAGATCTATAGAACAGTTTTTATTCATACATCTGCCATGGCTTTGTTCAACATTGTATAGAGAGTTGGTGTAAAAGAACAACAAGTTTTTCATTTTTGCCCAACTTTTTACTTGAACCCAAGATGCTGGGTTACTAGCACTAACCATCTTGACTCAACAGAAGTAAAATCTTCTGAGGTGAAGAGAAATAGCTCATTATAGTAGATGTAATAGTAATAATAATAATAAAATCCCCACCACCCAAAAAAAACCCCAAACCAACAAAACAAAGAAGAAAAAAAAAAAACACCAAAAACCCCAACAAACCCAAACATTAATCACTTTTGTATAAAAACATAGTGGTATCTGAGTTACCAGAATCATTTGTAATGTATTAGCTGGCACATAAGCATTCATCTCCTGAATTAGAACCCATTTGTTGTGGGAGCTGCATAAATAAGAACTGAATCAGCTGTGAATAGAATAGTTTTATATAAATACTACAATTCTTATGAGGAAGTCTTATTTCTATCTTTAGTTGTTTTGAGATGAAATGAAGTATTCACTTCAGAGCTGTTATGGTAGTTTAGAGAACAGTGTGCTTGCAAGATATTTTTCTTGGAAAACAGGTCACCTGTTTCAAAATAACATTTTATTGTTTATACTGTCAGGGCTGGCATAGTAGGCAGTTTACTTTCTTCCTCCAAAACAAGGAAACACTATGTTTGTTCTTGAGGGTAATAAATGTTTGAAATGCAAATTGTTTCTGCCTGGGCAAGTAAGTGGACTTTGCAAAATGCTTCAATATGTCTTAATGTTATTCTAATTGTGTAGTTTATAGGCAAGCAATAAACAGCAAGATGTTTGAGGTGGATATGAAGATTGCTGCAAGGCATGTGAAACGTAAGCAGCTTCACCAACTGCTACCTAATCATGTGCTTCAGAAAAAGAAAAAGGTAAAACTTGACTAATATCTGAGAGCAATAAAAATGCCATTGAGAAATTATTTCTCTGCTTTTTAGATTTACTAATCAAAGAACTAAAATCACGTTTTGAAAGCTTAGTTTTACATGTGTAAATCCACTGGCATAGTTTTGGGTTCTTTGAGCACAGGCGGGTTACAAGACATGGGGCCTGCTGGGGCTCGGTGGAGGCCACCTGTCTAAGGTGGGAAAAGGACCCTGGCTCAGGAGATAGCAAGACTCATTGATAGGGCTTTAAACTAGTTTTGAAGGGGGAAGGGGATAAAGCCAGGCACAATGGAGCAGAGCCTGGGGGTAATAGACCCAGGTTTGATGGTTGCTGCGTTAGCAAGGTTCCTCAGTCTGTCCTGGAAGAAGTAAGAGACATGAATCCAGGCAGCAGCAGATTTGCATAGTGTTTTGGTGAGATAGGAGCCACAGAAGCTTCCAGGAATCATCATGAGGGAATTGAGACTTCTCCCTCTAATAAGGTGATGGGACCAGCAGCCCAGCTGAAGTGCATCTACACAAATGCACACAGCATGGGCAACAAACAGGATGAGTTGGTAGCCATCATCCAGCAGGAAAACTATGATATAGTAGCCATCACAGAAATGTGGTGGGATTCTTCGTGTGCCTGGAGTGCTGTAGTGGATGGCTACAAACTCTTCAGGAGGGACAGGCAAGGAAGAAGAGGAGGAGGGGTAGCCCTTTATGTTAAAGATGGTTTTGATTGCCTGGAGGTTAATAATGGTGATGACAGGGTTGAGTGTTTGTGGGTAAAGATCAGGGGGAAGGCCAGTAGGACAGGTACCATGGTGGGTGTCTGCTATAGACCACCCAACCAAGATGAGGAGGTGAATGAAATATTCTGCAAGCAGCTAGTGGATGTTTTGCAATCACAGGCCCTCGTTCTTGTGGGGGCCTTCAATTTGCCAGATCTCTGCTGGAAATACAACACAGCAGAGAGGAGGCCATCTGTGATGTTCCTGGAGTGTGTGGAAGAAAGCCTCCTGATGCAGCTGGTGAGGGAACTGACCAGGGAAGGTGCCCCAGTGCACCTGTTATTCACTAACAGAGAAGGACTGGTGGGTAAAGTGGTAGTTGGAGGCCGCCTTGGGTGCAGTGATCATTAAATGATAGTTTTATGTTCTTGGAGAAGGCAGGAGAAGGGTCAGCAGGACTGCCACCTTGGACTTCAGGAGGGCTAACTTTGGCCTCTTCAAAGACCTTCGTGGAGGAATCCCATGGGCTAAGGCTGTGGAGGATAGGGGGGCCCAAGAGAGCAGTTAATTTTCAAGCAACACTTCCTCCAAGCTCAAGATCACTGCTTCCCTCAGAGTAAGAAATCTGGCAAAGGAGGCAGGAGGCCTGCATGGATGAGCAAGGAACTTCTGGAAAAGCTCAGTCAGAAGAAGGAAGTCTACAAAATGTGGAAAAAGAGACTGGCCACTTGGGAGGAATGTAGGGACTTTGTCACAGTATGCAGGGAGGCAACGAGGAAGGTCAAGGCCTGCTTGGAATTAAATCTAGCTAGGAATGCCAAGGACGGCAAGAAGGGCTTTCTCAAGTACCCCAGCAACAAAAAGAAGACCAGGGAAAATGTGGGGCTGCTGCTGAATGAGGTGGGTGCCCTGGTGATGGAGTATGCAGAGAAGGCAGAGTTGCCGAATGCCGCCTTTGCTTCAGTCTTTACTGCTGGCCCTCAGGAGTCCCAAGCCTTGGAACTAAGAGAGGAAGTCTGGAGAGAGGAAGACTTTCCCTTGGTCGAGGAGGATTGGGTTAGGGACCGTTTAGCCAAACTTGACACCTACAAATCTATGGGCCCTGATAGGATGCACCCTCGAGTGCTGCGGGAGCAAGCGGATGTTATTGCAGAGCCCCTCTGTCATTTTTGAAAGGTCGTGGAGGATGGGAGAAGTGCCCGAGGACTGGAGGAAAGCCAGCATCACTCCAGTTGTCAAAAGGCAAGAAGGAGGACCTGGGAAACTACAGGCCAGTCAGCCTACCTCTATCCCTGGGAAGGTGATGGAACAATTGATTCTGGAGGCTATCTCTAAACGTGTAGAAGAAAAGAGGGTTAATGGGAATAGTCATCATGGATTCACTAAGGGGAAATCATGTCTGGCCAACCTGATGGCCTTCTATGATGGCATGACTGGCTGGGTGGATGAGGGTAGAGCAGTGGATGGTGTCTACCTTGACTTCAGCAAGGCTTTTGATGCTGTCTCCCATAGCATCCTCATAGGTAAGTATAGGAAGTGTGGGGTAGATGAGGGCATAGTGAGGTGGGTGAAGAACTGGCTTGATTGCAGAGCTCAGAGGGTTTTAATCAGTGGTGCAGAGTCTAGTTGGGGCCTGTGGTTAGTGGTGTTCCTCAAGGGTCAGTACTTGGTCCAGTTCTATTCAATATATTCATCAATGACTTGGATGAAGGGACTGAGTGTACCCTCAGCAAGTTTGCTGATGACACTAAACTGGGAGGAATGGCTGACACACCAGAAGGTTGTGCTGCCATTCAGCAAGATCTTGATAGGCTGGAGAGTTGGGTGGAGAAGCACCTGTTGAAGTTCAGTGAGGGCAAGTGTAGGGTCCTGCACCTGGGGAAGAATAACCTCAGGCACCAGTAAAGGTTGGGATTTGACCTACTGGAAAGCAGCCCTGCAGAGAAGAACCTGGGAGTACTGGTGGATGACCACTTGACCATGAGCTAACACAGTGTACCCTTGTGGCCAAGGAGGCCAGTGGTATCCTGGGGTGCATTAAGAAGAGTGTGACCAGCAGGTTGAGGGAGGTTCTCCTCCCCCTCTTCTCTGCCCTCATGAGGCTGCATCTGGAATGTTTTGTCCAGTTCTGGGCTCCCCGGTTAAAGAGAGATAGGGAACTTCTGGAGAGTCCAGTGAAGGGCTGTGAAGATGATTAAAGGGCTGGAGCATCTTTCTTAATAGGAAAGACTGAGAGGGCTGGGTCTGTTTAGCCTAGAGTAGAGAAGACTGAGAGGGGACCTTATTAATGTCTATAAATATTTAAAGGGTGGATGTCAAGAGGATGGGGCCAGACTCTTTTCAGTGGTGGCCAGCAGTAGGACAAGGGGCAACAGGCACAAACTGGAACACAGGAGGCTCTGCTTAAACATGAGGGAAAACCTTACTGCGAGGGTGACGGAGCACTGGAACAGGCTGCCCGGAGGGGTTGTGGAGTCTCCTTCTCTGGAGATACTCAAAACCCACCTGGACGCTTTCCTGTGCAACCTGCTCTAGGTGAACCTGCTTTGGCACAGGGTTTGGACTAGATGATCTCCAGAGGTCCCTTCCAACCCCTACCATTCTGTGTTTCTGTAATTCTGGGTGTAAGCAATGTGATCTCATTTGGCTGCAGCAATATTACTAGATGCACTAAATATAATACTAGATTTCCCAGAACATCAACAACATGGACAGTATCTTCAAGTCTGGCTTAAATATTGTATTTTGTTGGCCTTCCTAAACTAAGCGGATTTAAAACAGTGTAACAATAAGGTTTTTTAAGCTGTCTTGCTATTTTAACATGCAAGTCACCTAAAGGAAGCATCTGTAACAATACAAATGGAACAATCAGTCAAGCAGTTTTTGTTCTCTCCACCTTTTTCCTCCCAAGTTGTTATTATTTAGATTTTCCTATAAGTCTCCTAAATGTAAAATTGCAAGTCATCAAGTAGAAGCAGAGTAGAATGTTGAACTTCTTGATGCCTTTTTGTATCTAACACAATAGTCGATTGCTGTAACTAAGGTTGAATACTTTGAGGATAATTTAAAGGAAAGTATTCTTTGACCTGGAGCTTTGCAGCTTTTGGTATTGTATGCTCTTTTAATTAAGAGTAAAAGATTTAAATGACAGTTTTGATATCAGAAAGTTGCCCATTGTCTAGCCAGGGTTATTTTCTCCCTCAATATTTAGTATACCTTTGTGGCCATACATGAGAATGGTAGCAAAATTTTTATTTAAGCTGTTGTGTTGAATGTGATTTACTTTCAGTGGAGGAGAGGGTGGAATATTGAATCTAACAATTTAGTCTGTATTTCAAAATCCCTGCTTCTTTGTGTTAGCTTAATCTGAGAGCAATACAGGTTTGCTTGTTTTTGTGAATAGCTAAACCACTGTTATGTACTATGTGTTAGGTATATCTGAATAACATGCTTTATTACTGTAGTTATTTCATATTAACTGCTTTTTCAAAGAATAGGATATCTTGTATTAAAACCAAATATAAATCTATTTGTAATATGTTTCAGAGGACAATGTAAGTATTAAGTAATATATCTCTTTAAGTAGTAGTATGTCAGAGGAGGGTTCTTCTCCACTGACTGTCTAAATTCAATCAGTCTTTAAATTCTCTGTATTAATTGTGGTTTTGGTGTACATAAGTATTACTTTGAAGTTAATGAAAGCAGTATCTATAAGCCTTCAAAAACAAAGAACCTTAAAATAAAGCTGAAAGTACAGTCACTAAGTATAATAATAGTTTATCTTGTGTTTTTGAATGTCATGGGTTCAGACAAATCTGTACCTGAATTGTGAACATGAAAATGTAAATGCTTGTAATGATAAGATAGTGGATTATTTATATGTAAAAGGATTTGAAAATTGTCCATTTATGTTTTGCATTTTTTAAATGCTCCTACTTTTAGGTTTTTGGTTTTTTTTTTTTACTAAAAATATACTTAAATTTAACTACACTTAAGGTACACATACATGCTTAGTTGACAGTGGAAGCTCATCACTGTTAAATCAGCTCTTGTTTCTTTTTTCTTCACAAATGTAACAGCTAACATTTTCATAACTGAAATATTATATCATGTTGAATCTTCATTGATTTTTAAGCCCTTAGTAAGACTTTGTCTTTTGTCTTGTGGATTGCAGCATTCAACAGAAGGGATCAGGTTGACAACTCTGAATGACAGCAGCCTAGACTTGTCTATGGACAGTGATAACAGCACGTCTGTGCCTTCGCCTACTAGTGCTATGAAGACGAGTCCATTGAACAGTTCTGGAAGTTCTCAGGGGTAATGAAGACTTTCAGTCTTGTTGCTGCTCTCTGCCACTGAATTACTTGTGTTAAAAGCATAGCAAATACTGCATGCATGAGATACTGCAGTTACCAAGGTGTGAATGTTCCAAACTGGAGCTTGAAGGCTTTCTTATTTCCGGTTTGAGCACTAGTACAGGGCTAGATCTGGGGGATAAGGAGCATAGCACTGGACTTCAGATGAGGAATTATAAAGTTGGATAAAGGTGTGTATAAGAACAAGGTGATATAAAAACTTGGAGACGCTGCAGTAGTAGGCAGTGAGAAATCACGAGCAGGAAATTGAGGTGTGAGAGTGAGGAAGAGTTATGTGAGTTTTGGATCAACATGTGAGTCAGTAGAGGAGTTTAGGCTTTCTTTCTGTGAAATTAATAGTGCTACTGCTATTACTGATGATACCTATGCAAATTAAGCTTAGGAACATAATTTTCCATTGTATTTTCAAAGTGTACATATTAATGTTTATCTTAATCCTAACTTCCTGTGTTAAATCTTTTCCTATCTAAACTTCAGTTTGCCCAGGTAAATGGGATTTTACTCTCTTCAATAGTCTCAAGTTTGTCTATTTGATGCACAGAGAAGTTAACGTCAATCTCCTACAATTGTGTGCTATTAGATGTATATTATAGGATATTGTTTAGGATAAAATACTTAAGTTCACCAAACTTACTCCTTTTGACAGGTGCTCATTTAGTTAATCTTGGTAATCTATTTCCGATAGTTGATGCCACTGACCATGCTATTAAAACAAGTCTGTGATACCTAGAATGTCATACTTGAAGTGGAAATTACCCTGTGTTCATTTTAAACACATACTGCTTCCTTATTTCTTGAAAATGAAAAAACAATTCTTTTGTCATGTGGAATCCCAAGCCTTTGCTTGGGAAGTCCAGACTGAAATTATAGTTGTAATGGTGTGTGTAGATTGAAAACAAACTTTCTATTCTAGTCCTTCTACACTGGTTTTGTTCCATCCTCCCCTGCACCTTATTTGGGCAGACATGGCCTTAATTTTTGCCTTCTTAAATGCAGCTTCTTGCTGGTCTAAAAAACTGTGTCTCAAGTGATTCAGATTAAATATTTGAAATAGCTTCCATTACTCAGGTTTGGTAGATTGCCAATGCTCATTTCTGTCTTCCTACTGTAACATAGTATTATAAGCTCTGCTCTGTTATACAGGTGAAATCCTATCAGCTATGGTCACTGGTCATGCATCCGATGTGATGAGAGGCAAATCATATACCACCATAGCTTTACTAATGTTCACCTTTTTGTTATTTTTCTCTTTAGCAGAAGCAGTCCTGCGCCAGCTGTAACAGCAGCATCTGTGACCAACATACAGGCTTCTGAAGTCACTGTGCCACAAATAAATTCCAGTGAAAGCTCAGGGGGTAAGGAGAATGGCATAGTGTATTGTTTCTATTGGGCTTTTTTTGTAACACTTATAAAGCAGTTTGAGCTCTTTACTTAACACATGGTGTAACATGTTCTCCTTGATACACAGATGTAACTAATTTCTTTAGGACTCAATAAATCATATTTTGTGCAGCAGTGTTTATTTATTCTTTTATTCTTAGGGATTTATATTTACCATTCACAATAGCAGTAGTTTTCTGATGCAGGTCTGTAGTTCAGTTGGTCAAAGCTATCTAAAGCTGGAAGAGAAATCTTTGTATTTACTTTTAAGCCATTTTGTAGTTAAACCCAAGAGGTGTACTGTCTCTAATCTGTATTCCCATGTTCCTGCTCCTTGTGCTCTATGAAATTGATTCTAAGAATGAAAAAGACTTTCATAGAAGTAGGACACATGCTCCTTACTGACATCTTTTCAGATATGTCCCACTGTGTGTGCTGACTTTAACCTCCGTATTTTCTACAAGAAAAAATACACTTAACTTAAAAAAAAAATAAAAAAAATTACTCTTTAGTGAAAGAACAAAGACATCTGTTGAAAATATTTACTTGGCAGTCAGCTATTCCGCTTTTTTGATGGAACTTTAGCTGTATACAAGGAGCAAGTGAGAAATAGATGGAAAGGAGACCACCTGGTTAGTCTTTCAGGATGAGATCTCTCTTATTTTGCTCTGACATGTGGGATGGTGGAGCCTTCCTGTTTCGGATTTTTATTGTAAGTTGGAGGTACATCAGTGTGAGTAAGTTTGCCCATGAGCACTAAATGGAACTTAAATTACATCACTGGTTTTTGCATTTGTAAGAATAGCAGAAGTTGTGCGTTCTTGTATTTTGGCTAATAAAAAGCAGTCACTTGATACTTCTTAATGAAAAATTTCTTCAGTGTAATTTTTCTCATCCTGGAGCATCTGCCTATGCGTGCTTATTGGTTTGAGGCAGGCAACTGATGAGGTAGAGCTTTGTTGTATGGAGCGTTGTTCAAAAGGATGTATGGAATGTCAGATCTTTATCTGATGCTCTGTGATTACTTCAATATCTGTCATTGCATACTTGGAGCCTGAGAACCTATAAACTTCATGTTTGGGTGACAAAGGGAGTATAAGATTGTTCTTGGATTTGATTTAAGGCAGACTTTGGCAATGCATATATAGATATATCTATCTATATATATCTGGCTGAGTACAGAAACAGTAAAGCTTCTTTGAGTAGCAAGGATAATATAGCTATATTAGCACAGAGCTCTGTCTGGACTAGTATATCCTGCTGTTAAGCAGAGTTAATTAGACCCAGCAGAGTGTCAGTGATGTGGCTACCCTGTATCTGGTACAGGAATTCTCTCTCAGAATGAGCTTGAAAATAAACTCTGCACACCTGCTGTTCCAAACATCATACTTATATCACTAACTGTACCACTTCCTTGATATCTACTTGATACCAGTGGTTTTGAATAGGGACTAAAAATACCAGTGATTAAACTGAAATGATTGTGTCAACTCATTTTGTTGAACCTTTTAAAATTATTTGTCCATAGGTACTTCAAATGAAAGCATTCCTCAAACTGCCACACAACCAGCCATTTCTCCACCACCAAAGCCTACCATCTCTAGAATTGTTTCCTCAGCATATCTATTAAATCCATCACCAAGAACTTCAGGAAATGTTGCAACAAAAATGCCTATCCATGTCACAGCAGTGAAAAGGACATCTTCTCCCCATAAAGAAGAGTCTCCCAAGAAAATGAAAATTGAAGAGGTATTTGAGATTTTGAGATCATACCATAGCAATGTCCAAAACTTTGAATATTAATTTCAGCTGCAGAGTGCTGATTCTCATATTCCTGATTTCATATAATTTGTTAAATGGAGTGTATATTTCCTACTGTGTTTGCATTGCTGCTTTATGTATTCAGCTTGCTTAGATGTTAGTGGTTTTTTGTTTGGGTTTTTTTAAATATTTTTTATTATACTGATAGGCATTGTGTGACACTTGTACTGCATTAGCACAAATGCTTAGATTCTAAATCCTTGTCTTAAAAGCAGTTTTTTTGGTAGAGTATAACGTGCTGAGTATTAGAACAAATTCTATCTTCAAAAACACTTTACGACTTTATTTTTGTGTTGGATTTTTTAAAAATATGTTTTTATGATCTTTAATGGTTTCTGGGTGTACTTTTGTATTTCAGCAG